TGTAGGGGGGGGGGTAACAATGGCACAAATTTCGGCCAGCAGGGTAATCAGACGTAATTGGTATTACTTTGGGATGCAATCAGGTAACCCTACTTGTCAGGCATGCGATTTTAGGTGGGTACACAGTCAGGCTGCGGGCAAGGACCAAGGTGGTTTTGAACAATCCGTAGCGCATCGGATTGCCTTGTATTTGACGCTTTTCCTGAAAGCAGAGCGCACACATCTTTAGTATTTGAATCTTTTCCTGTTCTGTGGTTCCTTAACTCTATCCACAATTTCATATGAACATCTAAGTTCCGTAATCGACGCTTCTAATGTTTGCATGTGTTGTCCGTGAATTTGGGTTTACACGATTTCTTTATAATTTGCAAGCGTGTGCTTGTCAGTCCTTGCTTTACAGACGTTTTACACAACACTGATAGTCAGGGAATAATCTTTAGTGTATGTATCATTGACTATGACAGCTTTTCAAAACGTTATTTGACTGTAAATCTTTGTAAAACGGAGAATGGTGAAAGGACGGCGTCAATCAACCCCCGCAGAAATGGCCTCGTCCGTTGCCATGGCAACGGGCGTGGTTACGCAATGCAACTTGCGCTGAAAAATCGGACATTAAATCCTGGACAAACATTGTTCAAAAATTGGGACCTTAGCACTAATCGCTGATTTTTGGTGAATATTTTTCATTTCTAATTAAGGTCTCATTCATGAGTTTTTTCCATACATTAGAAACCATGCATTAATGAGTGACTTACGAGACCGTGTTCCCTATGATCCTACATTAAATCAATCGATATCTTTCATGCTATGTTGAGCACACGTACTCTACATCTCATAGAAAAATTGCCAACGACTTCTATACACACAATCCCCTTTTATGGGAAATACAAACTGCACCTAGCGGCTGCCCGCAAGAGGCCCTCCCACGCTGCAAACCTACGACCGCACAACTCACAACACTGGACTGTGCACGTCCGACCTAGCGCGCGGCTGCCGACAATTACGTCCTAATTTCATCAGTTACAAACAAGCTTTCACCGCTTTGACGTTTTACATCAGTTGGGATGGCTAAAAGGGAAATTCTCACCAATAAAAACACGCGTTCATACAGCCGCTTAGTTTTTGACTTGGCACTCTTTTAGGGGGTACACTCGGAGTAATACATGAATGAGACCTTTATGTTGTCTTACTTGAGCGGAAAATCATAGCCACACCCCCTTTCATAAAATGTACACTTTGATAACGAAAACGTAGTCTCGTAATGTTGTTTACTTTCTCTCAGACTGTTGGCTATGAGACATAGTAAACAACGACGCAGGAGGTTGGGAAAGAATTTAGAATTGATGGACAGAAGGCCAGGGCCGGGTCAAAAACTTTGGGACACACCAAAAACAGGGTGGGAGGGCGGATGGACAAAATAACAGGAAGACGTATAGGAATTTGCTTCGCACGTTAAGTGCACTGTTTAGCGGCGAACTACGGAGGCAAACGACAAGGACGCAAGCTTACACGACGCAGAAGATGATATCAACCACATAATTGGGGTAAAAATTGATTTACTGCATGAATCTTTTAGATCGTGTTTTGGGGGGAAGCGATCAGGCAAGACTGATTTTGATGCTGCCCTAATATTCCCTCACTTAAACACCTACAACAGCGTAATAAAAGCAGAAAAAGCCACCATACCTCGTCTATAAGTTGTTGAATAACCATGTTATCCGACGGTACCGCGCGATCCCCGCTGTCTGCTGTGGTTTCTGTGGGAGAAGGGCGGAAATTTCAGGAAAATACGGAGACCAACTTTTCACAACTGCTCCGAATCCTTACCGCCATCAATGTCTGAAATTACGTAACCTGATTGGTTCAACTCGTCACGTGACAATATAGGCTATAGGTGAAAGGTCATCGTCATACAGGTCAATCAGAACAGGTGAGGAAACTCATGTTTAAAATGTGCAGAAATAAGAACGTTTTTTCTGCATTAAGTATAACTATTTCGTGAGCAATTTGCCTTAGAAGTTATCCTTTAGGTATGGCCAGTTCTTCATGTCATTTTTTGCATCCATAGGGCCTGGGGAAGCACATTTTTACCTAAATCTGTGTGCAAGCAGGATAACTCAAAAAGTTATGAATGGAATTTCATAAATCATAATCTTCAATGAATTTCTGATTTCTATTCTCCATAGATACTGCCAAATTTAAACCAGACCCTATTACAATTCAGTTGAGAGTTGATCTTGATATATAACGTTAAATTATAATACTCTCATCTGCCGAATAAACATACCCCCCGGAATAAACGTACCCCCCGGACAAATCTTCAAAATCAAATAAACATACCCCCGGAATAAACGTACCCCCCGGAAAATTACCAAAATTGACGGGTATCCTGTGTCTCTTGTACTAAAATGCACCCTTACTGACATGACTGATATATGCACAAATCTTTTTAATTAGGAATTTAAATAGACAAAAAAAAAGAGCATTTAATATTTTGTATTTTGATAAGCACCACCCATGACAATAGAACATTCAGACGAATTTATGCACGCGGTGATTGCAAAAACCGGCCCGAAAATTACAAGTTTCTCGCTACAATATGCGTTTATAAACGTCTTCACGTCGATGATTTGTCAATGATTTGTCGATGATTTTTCACATGAAGTTGAAAAAAATTACTGGTTTTCAAAAAATTAATAAACGTACTGTGCATAATAAGAACATACTGGGTGGATGTTTGGGCCCCAAAAAATAAACGTACCCGTATGTTTATTTGGCAGATGAGAGTATATGTACTAATCCTAATAATATTAATATAGTGACTATTTACTAATCTCATTGTTATGTTTTGCATCATCTTTTCACAGATATTCGGGTACAGTGGACATGCAATGCAGACAGCAACTTCTAAAGCCTTTCATAATTCTAGATTGTTGGTGACAAGTATATTACATCAGACAAAACTTTTGAGGGGCAACAACGTTCCATCAGCAAGAACTTACAGGGCTAATTCTACTCGGAATCTGTCATACAGAACAGACTTTTTACCTGCGAAGTGCATTTCTAGTGGTAGATATTATTGTACAATGCCTCCAACCAAAGGGCCGTACCAAAATGTGTGCATGGGGGGCACTTTTGACAGGATGCACGAGGGACATTTTTTGCTGCTAAGAGAGGGGTGTCGTCTGTGTGAGGGGACGCTGACTGTGGGGGTTACCGATCTATCCATGATACAGAGTAAGTATTGTTTTGCTGTATTTTTGTTTAGTTGTTACGTGGTTTTTTATGCTGAGTACGCAAACACGTACAAAAACACACATACATGATACACATAATTTTCTGGCCATTTTTCCTAGTCTTACAAGCTAGGGTTAGAAATGCATACAGTCAATGTCAAGCTATAGGTTTATGGATGCTATGAAAACTGTTTCATTTTGATTAGCAACCAAGTAAAGAAAAATATCAAATTGCAAGCTGTAGCTGCAGTGGGGTCGTGTACATGTAGTGCTATGGCAGAGCAAATTTGACTCGGAACCAAGAGGTTCCGAGTTCGAATCCTGCCATGCCACCGATCTTGTGCCCTTGGGAAAGACACTTAACATAAATTTCCTCTCTTGATTCAGGTGAAAATGAGTATGTCTATTGTCCATTCATGCGTTTGTCTTCTGTGTTGGCGGCAACATAAAAATAAGTTGAAAGAACTTGAGTGTGCCGTCACCATCATGTGATAATTGTTGGAATAAAAAAAAGCTGTAGAAGAATTGCTCTGATTTTAGTACCTTCGTGAACATGTAATCAGACTGAAATATGTCATGTGTCATTAGTATATCATTGCAGAAAAACAGTTTTTATTGATTTTACATTTAAATGGAGCATCAGTGACATCTGAAAATGAATGGTTTATTTGAGCATTTTGATCAAGTCAAAAATGCATCGCAGCCAGAGGCTGAATTAAGTAGCCTCCTTCGCAGTCTTGTTGGGTGGGCGTCGTCGTTATTTTTTCTCTGAGCGACGCGAGTAATATGCGGCCGCGAGGGACGATTTGCTGCCGAGGGAGTTTTTGCCACGGCAAGGATTCGCGCTCCAACACTCAGAGAAAAAATAACGACGACGCCCAACAAGACTGCGAAGGAGGCTTAAGTACTTTTCACATATTGTAAAAACTGTTGGCATCTACGTTCTTTACTGATTTATGCTAAATCTTATCTTTGCTATTTAACTTTGTAATACTAGTAGCATGAATATATAACATTTTGTTGACATCCTGTTGCAGGTAAGATTCTATGTGAGCTGATCGAGCCTGTAGAAGTGCGGATAGAGAATGTTCGTCAGTTTCTCAGGGACACCAAACCCAGCATGGCGACTGACGTGGTCCCCATCTCCGACCCTCTGGGTCCAGCGGGGTGGAACCCTGACATACAGGCCATCGTGGTCTCTACAGAAACAAAGAAAGGAGCAGATTTTGTCAATGAAACCAGAAAGAAAAAGGTATTACTAGTAGTAGTTGCTTTCTTGGCATAGTGTATGTTATTCTATTACATTAATACATGCTAGCCAGGGCTCGAAATACTGGGTGCATCATCTCACTAAAAGAAGTTATAAATTGTTAAAATAATCGAAAAAACAGCTGAGACATTTTGGTCGTGATTAAATGTAGAGAACGTGTTTGAAATACAGACTACGGCTTGTCACAGTGCACCTAAGCGAACCCAAATTTGGAGCTGCGCCCCCAATAATTTTTTCTTAGGTTTATTTATGTCAAAAGATGTATTGTATAATAGTATACAGCATATTCTTAACATCTACATTTGTGTAATTGTCAGAAAGACAAATGTAAAATCATTCGTCTACCTAGTACTTTTCTTTAGAAATGTAACATAATTAGTTTTTACTGATATTCTACTTATTTTATCAGATGCACTCAAAAAATTTGTTGTGCACCCAATACACCTATTCCCAAAAATGAATTTTGAGGCCTGCTATCAAGTTGCTTCCCACACATTTTATGTTGGATCCTAAGCATTATATCTAAGAAAACATAATATTATAAAATATCTGTTAAATGAGACGACAGAGCTCACTACGACACTTGCCAAAGTGCAAAACTGGAAGGGTGTGTTATAGTAACTTATACCGTAAGGCAGTTTCCTTAATTATGCAAAAACATTTACTTGATACATGTACTAGTACTACTAGCAAGTAGTAAGAATCCTGTCTGACTGCAAAGCTACTAGTACACGACTCAACAATTAAGTGTGAAATATAAATCCTGTAATGCTATGATTTTATCCAAAATATCTATTTTTTGCTTCTTCATGTAGTCATACACTCAGAAATCTTTAGATGTTACTAATCATAGCTTTTTTCTTTTCTGTAAGGGACTGAGTGAACTTGCTGTACATATGATTGACCTTGTGCCTGAGCCCTCCCCATCTTCCTCAGAGGAACACAAGGTGTCCTCCTCCAACCTCAGGCAAAGGCTGCTGGGAACTCTGCTCAGGCCAGTACAGGTAGGAAAAGCATGTCGGCAGAACGCACTGCACCTGCGCGAAACCCGTAATGTATTGTACATAGCACTTCGGGCAGAATGTCTCATATAAGGTCGTATTCGCGCATATAAGGTTAACATCCCGTCTGTAGTTTCCAAATGTTATGTAGGAAAATATATCCTTTGCAACGGGCAAAATTCTGATGCAACGTTGACCAAAAATCCACCAAAAATCGTGAAAATACAGGGTTCTGCGCAGGCGCAGTACGTTCTGCCGACGTGCTGGTAGGAAATATAGTCAGTGTCGTTGATGAAGGTTAGACATCCAGGTAAATAAACAATACTCATAAGAAATTCAAACTCTACTGCTGGATAAATTACGGAGATAATTTCTGGACATTTGTTTATTATTAGAAACCTCCACAAGTATACAAGTGGAAGGGTGGGCAAAACAGTTGCATAAACAGTTTACAAATTACTTGTGTCACTACTTTTCTAATAAGCTTTTCTATGGAAAAGAAAAGTAGTGACACATTTGCATCTGGCTGATTCAGTGCGCTGCTGACCAAGATGGCGGCCACTCAGCTTATGAATACATGGCGAGCAATCGCGAATAGTGGCGGTACAACTCGCGCAGGGGCCGGTTGACACTCAAAACACCCCGGCACGCTAGGAATCCAGGGACGTGCAGAGTTCGGACTCAAAGTGTTCCGGCACGGAGGATCGCATGTTTGTTCATTTGGCCCAATGCACCGCTCCGCGACTGTTGTTAGGGCTAATGTAAAAGACTGCAAGTTAGAGAAGCCCTGCAACAGTCGCCGCAGCTATCCGGTTATCCCTGTACTTACCCTTTCCTTTTTTTTCAGCCAAAGCCAGACCTCAGGTGTCATCCCTATGTGTTAGGGCTAACAGGTGGGATTGCGTCAGGTAAGACTTCTGTTGGTAGGAGACTGCAGGGGTTGGGAGCAGCAGTGGTGGACTGTGACAAGTTGGGCCACAAGGCTTACGAGCCAGGGACAGCCACGCATGGGCAAGTGGTGGAAACATTTGGCCAAGGTGAGATGCAATTGACATAAGTTTAGTACAGTAGGGGAATCATCATTGGATAGTTTATAATAGCTTTCAAGAATGCTTACAGATATGCAAAGGTTAGGTATAACAAGTTGTTCAGTGTAGCATTAACAGATGCAAAGCTGGTGTGTTATGCCAAAGGGCAGTTATGACTACATGTATACAGATACCATACCACTATACAGAATGATATAAAGTTATGACTATATGTATACAGATACCCCTATACAGAATGATGTATAGTTATCAGCAGTAAAATTACTAGTATTGTAAAGCATTACTTGCTAATTTGTACTAAGCAGTTTGGATCAGTGTTGTTTTTTCCTTATCCCACATACACAGATGTGTTAGCTGAAGATGGTACAATCAACAGGAAGGTTCTGGGACCAAAGGTGTTTGCAGACAAGGTGGACCTTTTAGACCAATTAATCTACTTGAATGCTTTGTGACTGTTTTGTAATTAAGGCATGTTGAAATGTAGAAGCTATGTTGGATCCTAATTTTTGATGATAAGGCCACACCAATTTAATTTGTTGGTTCTCGGATTCGCCTCTTCGTTTTTTTCTGTATTTGACAAAAAAAAAAAATTTGATTCTGGTCCTGAATCAACTGAAAAATGCTCATGTTTTGCCCCCAACAGTTGTGGAAAGTCCTTTTCTTCCTAGTTGTTACAGTTTTCCCATCTATCATTGCAGTGGTTTGATTAAAAGTTCAAATTCAATGTTTAAATTTTAACCCAGCCTTTTGTGTTGACTTCATGGCTCATTTTGTAGCATTTAAGCCTATAAAAGGATGCCTAGACCTGTTTTTATTTTATTTTTTTTCGCCCTGTCGCTTCATATTTTTTCTGAAAAAATCCGAGAACCAACAAATTAAATTGGTGTGGCCTAATGTTGTTACCTCCATGAAATGGAAGGTATTGTTTTTGGCGCGTCTGTGTGTGTGTGTGTGTGTGTGTGTGTGTGTGTGTGTGTGTGTGTGTGTGTATGTGTGTTTGTGTTTCCGCTTTTTTGTACCTTCATAAGTTCATAACGCCTTCATGGATTGTAGTGATATTTGGTATGCTGGTAGGTGTTAGGGGGGCGAAGGTCAAGGTCAAATATGGGCCTCCTGGTGGATGGCCTTGGTAGTGCGGTAGCACTTCCGGTTTAATGAGGAATCTCCTTTGCAACCAACAGATGTGTCATTGTGTGGTTATCGAGTCAGTGCGCTTGGGACTCGGTTTGGTTAATGGGGTTCCCTCAGGGGAATAGGTGACCTATTTGAGGGTTAGGGTTTGTATTAGCTGCAGGCCTGATTAGCTGTGTGTTTGAAACACTTAGTGTACTGTATACAAAAACTCATATTTCATGGAGGCGTGTCTGTCTGTGTGTGTGTGTCTGTATGTGTGTGTGTCTGTGTGTTTGTGTTTCCGCACATTTGTAGTCAGCATAACTCCATAACGCCTTTATGGATTGCGATGATATTTGGTACGCTGGTAAGTCTTAGGAAGACAAAGGTCAAGGTCAAATATGGGCCTCCTGGTGGATGACCTTGGTACTGCAGCAGAACTTCCGGTTTTTGTATCTTTTGTCCTAAACATGCTATGGTCTTGACTTTTTGGTGACAGATAGCTTTTCCTGTCAGGAATAAGTGGCGTGAGTTTGGTCCCCCTAGCAGCTTGTTTTGGAACTGCAGGAGATTTTCGGGTGAAATCTTTAAAAGCCAAGTCCAGATAGGAACAAGGTATTATCATCATTTTTGGTAGGTAGGTAGCTGAGAGAGAGATGTACATAATTAACTACAAATTATGCAAATGATGACTTAATTTGCATAATTAATGAGGAAATTCTATAATTACAGTGTTTTACATTATAGTACTTTCATACATGCAATGTATGTAATCTATGGCAGATGGAACATCAACAGATACCAATTATGCAAATGATGGCCTAATTTGCATAATTAATGCGAAAATTCTATGACTCCTTAGTGGTAAATGATGGGAATTTCATACTTGGTACATGTGTAAGTTAATCAAAAGTTAACATCACGATGCATTTATTATGTTAATGTGGAGGTAATTTACATAATTAAAGAAGAAATTTACATTTACATGTCAAGCCCATATTTCATGGAGGTATGAGATCTCGGAACTCTTGTTTCAATTGCAGGCCAAGCTCCAAGCCCTGAACAATATTGTCTGGCCAGAGATTGCCAGGCTGGCTAGAGAAGAAATTGCAGCACATGCAGAAGCAGGTGGATATTGTTTGTTATAGCCTACTTTTTTTCCTAATGCATATAGCATTGGTGCTGTATGGCAAAAGGTAGCCTGGGTACCATCCTGGTTAGTTTACGTCTGCTCCCACAGTCGCTACCACCAACCATGAGGCTATATGGCAAAAGGAGAAAAGTGAAGCCTACTTACAGTCAATAACTTACAGAAGATACAATTCTGTGCAACATTTTTCACTTCTTCTAGAAGAATCCTATAAGGACCATGTTCCTTATTCTGCACACTGAAAAATAGATGGCCATAATGATTAGTAGTTAGATTAACTTCTAAGTCAATACTTTGCAAAAGTTGTTCACTATTTGTTAATGGCAATTGCTTCATTTCTTGTAATCTGATTCTACAAAGTAAGGAAGCTCACCTGTTCACACTGTAGTTGGCTTCAGGCATAGCAAAATAATTATTTAATGTTTTCAAATTGTTTCAAGTTTTCCGATGTTCTGTATGTGCTAATGTTTCCTCTGCTGTAGGGAAGAGTGTGGTAGTTCTGGATGCCGCAGTTCTCCTGGAGGCAGGGTGGGAGACCTTCTGTCATGAAACCTGGGTCAGCGTCATTCCAAGGAAGGAGGTACTAACTGGTATTTCTTAATATCTATCAGTGTTACCTTTCAATGTCTTACCATACAGACCACTGCAGATTCTGGGGTAGAAATAGATGCAAGAAATATTGCCTGATTTATGACTTTATCAACCTTCCTCTTGCTGCCTATACCTACATGTATAAGCAACAGAGAATTTGTAACCAAACAACTACATGTACTTCACTGTGCTCCAGGTCAATAGCCATCAATACAGTAAGAAATTAGAAAGGTAACATTTGCAAAGCAAATGCATAATGTTTACCTTCGCATAAGGTCTGCTCTGTTAACTCTTACTCAAACACATTCATATATGTGGTCAGACAGGAGTCTAAATCACTCCTGATATAAAATTGCAACATGATGTAACCCAACACCAGTTACCATGGTGACAGACGTCAACAAATCAAGTCATTGGCCAGGTCAGAGGTCAGTGTTTGGAGGAGAAGAGGAAGAGGAAACTGAGCAAAAACAATAAATATGTTTTCCTTTACTTAAGTAAACACAATAAAACAGGTTGTGTAGAAAAAGATGAATGTTTGCTTTCTTGTATTTTTGTACAAATGGTGTATCCAGGCCATCAGGAGGATAGTAGAGAGGAACAAGTTTACTGAGGAGGATGCAGCACGGAGGATTGACAGTCAGATGAGTAACCAGGACAGAGTGGACCGTGGTGATGTCATCATCAGCACACTGTGGGAACCAGAGGTCACCCAGAAACAGGTTTGTTTGTTTGTTTTCAAATAACCGGTAAACCACCTTTAGGCGTAACACACCAGTTTTGTCATGTAAGTACAAGCTGTGTAAGACTGGACTGTAAGGTTTGAACCACTCACACCGGAAAGGACCCCTACTCTTTTTGAGAAGTGCAATGGGTTCTTAAATATGCGTGGGGTGTGGCTCTCCCCAAACACGGGATGGATCCCTAACTGAGACTAGGTACTCATTTCCACCTGAGTGAAGTGAGGAAAGTCGTGTAATAAAGTGCTTTCCCAAGGGCACAAGATTGGTGGCATCGGGTAGGATTTGAACCAGGGATCTCTTGGGTCTGAGCCAAACACTCTATTGTTACGCCACATGTCCCCGCTATAATAGTAAATACCGGTAGTATCATTTAGGCCACACCGATTTAATTTTATGGATGACATCAGGATCCTCTGAAGACCCCCAAACTAGTGCGCGCGGGCGAATAAAAAAATTCCGGCCAAAAATAAAAATGCTACTAAACCACAGGAATACAAAGCTGGTATTGTGAATTCGCGGCAATACATAGCGACGTATACGACAAGACGGTACATATGCTGGCTTTTTGCGGAATTTATGAATCAGCATTGTTCGTATGTACTGAGTTCTTGAGTCGTGGATCTTCAGTAGCCTGGGTGCGATCCTCCTGACCTTAGTTACCAACGGCTCAGTATTGTCACTAACTACCATGGACTACCCAGTCCTAGAGCCAGGCCAGAGCCTTGGAGAACGTGATCTTTTTTTCTTTTTGAGAACAGGCAAAAATTAATGCGCGCGCGGATGTCATCCATAAAATTAAGGCGGTGTGGCCTTATATCATGATAAGTTGTTTTTTCATTTTAATTATTACTAAAAGCTTTGTTTTATTCTGTGTCTAAATAACTAACAGGTGGAGAAGGCGTGGGCCCTACTCCTGGACAGGATACAACAAAGAACTGAGAAGGGAGCTTCCCAGCTGTGACACTATCTGTCACCTTTATTATAAACCAAGTCAGAGAGTTCCAACCTTAGGTCTTTCAGCGTTCACATGCTTTAAACAATAAAATTTCTCTAATAGTAAAATGTTGAACTTTATTCCAACAAAAGGGTTACACATGTACAGAGATCAAATTTTCAACAATCACTGTCTCCTTCATCAGGATAATGAATGACCAATCACTTCCGAATGTAATCTGGCAAAAGTTACCATGATTACAGACACGTGACCTTATTCACACAAGACTTTACGGCGTAAATGTACGGATACGTGACGTTAGCAATTGATTAAATATGCCAGGGAGTTTCGTTGAAGAGATTCATTTGTCACATATAGCTACAGTTACTAGAGAATTCTTTCTACAAAAGGCAGTGCACATACATTTGGAAGGTGCCAAGTTAAACCAGACTGAAGTTTGGGAGCTCCCCAAGACTTACTTACCCTTGCTCCGGAGGGAGGCTACAGGGGGTGGGGCCCAGCAGACCGATGCAAGTCTCGGGCCTAGTCTTGCGCTCTCGCGAGACTAGGTCATTCCGTGAACAAGATGGACTGATAGTCATCGAAAATTTGGAGGTCAGTATCCTTACCCTTCCAACTAACTTGTCACTGTTGAAAGAATTCTCTAGTAACTGCCAGGGAGTTTATATCGTCCACCGTGTCTGATGGCTGGAGTGCCCTGATTATGTATGGATGCATATGTGTTGAGAAACTTCTGATGTACCAATACAGACGAACTTTCATGATAGATTTCTGTAATGAAAAGATATGGCTGGCTAATGTTGTTTCTCAAAGATAGATAGTTTTACACATTGTCAGCATAAAAGACACAGTTTGTTGGTCAAAATGAACCATAGCAGACCTGCCTATCCAAGTAAGTATATACATTGTAATGTAAACTTAATTATTTTGTTTCAAAATTATGTTTTAGAATATTCCTGTTCAGGTTGTAGTTTGGAAATTATTCTCACTGCCCTGATATAAATTTCAACATTTCTTTTTTGGTTATGAATGGACAGCATTTAACGTTTAGATTTCTTTTGCTTACAAATATCATGATAATCATTGTACAATGTACATATTACAAAATCAGCAGCAACTGCAGAATAATGCCTGGATGCCATATTTCTCTGATATGTGCATACAAAGACTACCTCAACAGTTGAGGCTCAACTACTGTATAGTTGTGCAACGACTGATGAAGAAGAGCACAGGACTTTAGATAAAGTTAGGATACTCAGAAATTGTGTTGAAATCACCAGTTACTAACACATACCCTCAGGTGGTTTGGCAGGTATAATTAGGTGAGTAAGACTGCATAGAAGACCCTGACTAACACCATGTACATTTAGGGTGGATCCAGCTTTGCTAAGAGCACAAAAGTTCGAAATTCCTGTCTCCAGACCTAGTGTTCTTGGGCATTACAGACATTCAACATTCGGTTGACATGACATAGAACACATATAACACATGTTACAGGATACAGTGTACTGAAAAGCCTTCAGAAGAAAAGTCCAGAATGTGGGCCAAGGTAGTAGCCCAGGTGTCACTTGACAGAAAACAGAAACACCTATTAGAAAGATGTGATTTGATTAAACAGGGTAACAACTATCAACAGTACGGTTCTAGTTTGTTTGGAAGTGTGCCGCCCTCTCTGATAGCCGACCGCGGGACTGCCACGTTTTCGCCCAACGACGGGCTTATATAGCAGCTAATTATAGACCCGTGACGGAGACTGGAAGAACCACTGGCAGTGCGGAGTCCACGCCTATCATTATCCACACTACGTTGATCTTAGAGACCTTCGTGTGACTCACAACAACAGTTAGGATAGCTTAACCTAAATCTGAAGAGGAGCTTGATTATTATCACTGACCTTTACTGTAATTGTTTGTCTCGTTTTGTGAATATGTGCGTGTGTGTGTGTGCGTGCGTATGTGTGTGTGTGTGTGTGTTATATCTTCTGCGCCTTTTCCTTTCTGAACTTCATTTATCCCATTGTTATATGACTATGAATGTATACTATTAGATGAATCACTGCGCACGTGTTATGCGGCTGTTGCCTAACGTATACCCAACATCAAAGGTCTCTGGAGCTTATCCTATCCATTGTGTTGCTGGTGTATTACAGCGCCCAGTCCTATTCAGCATAGATAAGGGTTTAAGGTGTTAGCTTGTGCGTCAAAGTAAGACAGGAAATTAGTAATCCACAATGATAGAACTGTCCTGTGACCTAAAGGTCGTCAACATTCACAAATCTTTCATGTGAATGTGTCGGGATTAACAACACAGTCACATAGTTATTAATGCACGTCCTTGACAGTTTTCTGCATTGAATACTGGTTCATTTAGCCTGTGTTACACAAGCTCTCGGCCGGAGGTAAAATAAAGCAGCAACTTTGGGGCGGCCGGCCGCCAGGAGCGTGATTAGTCAGGCTACTGGTTCATTGACTGTTATTGGACACTCGTCAGGCAAATGATTGAATAAGCCTATCAACTAACTAGTTAACCCACCAACCAACCAAGCAACCAACCAACCCACCAACCAACCCACCCACCCACCCACCAACCAACCAACCAACCAACCAACCAGCTGCAGTTGACAGAATGAATTAAACACAAGAACTGGTTGCTTAGTGACAAGTTAGATCTGGAGTTAATGAGTAATCACCTAGCTTCAGTACACAGGGAACCAGTAACACCTACAAATGTAGCTTCAGTGTACAGTGAACCTGTGAGTGAGTGAGTAACACCTGCGTGAAAATAGTATACAGTTCATTTCTCTCTTTAGTATACAATCTACATTCTATATTATGGCAAAACGCCTTTATGGATTGTGATGATATTGGTATGTTGGTAGGTCATAGAAACACAAAGGTCAAGGTCAAATATGGGCCTCCTGGTGGCTGACCTTGGTATTGCGACAGACTTCCATTTTTTAAAAATCTTTTGACCTGAACAGGCTATGGTCTTGGATTTTTGGTGACAGCTTAAAATATCCTGTCAGGTGGTTTGGGTTTTGCCCCCTAGCAGTTTGTTCTGGAACTGCAGGGAAGTTTCTGGCATTCATTCTCTATTCTATTCAAATTACAATATTTACATAATTTCTAGGGACAATAGAGAAGTGTTAGACGTAATCATCCTGTCCCTGCTACGTCATCAGACGCAGTTGAAAGTGCGCAGTTCAATCTTGAGGTCTGCAGATTGCTTTAGGGTAAATCACCAACAAGACCGGCTCTGCGCGTTTCTGTCACAAGGCCGTTCACACGTCAGAACGCCCGGGATACAACTTACAGAGATTTCCTCCTGCAAACACCGAAAGTACAGGATACATTCAACTATGGCGCCGTCGGAGGCATGTATCTTACTGTCAAAATGTGGCAAAACTTTTAAGGTACGTATTTTTTTTACACCAAGTGGTAAATATTAAGCATTTAATCAACACGTGTGGCAGAGTGTCAATATGGGTGTTGCCCATAAAGTGTAATGGTTAGTGATATTTACACTGAGTTGCAGTTGAGTAGTCACTACCACAGTACATTTGTACACTTTTGTGTCTTTAAACTGCATTTTTCAACAAGTACAACAAATCATTTTGCCAGCACTATTAAAACGGCCTTCAAGAATAGACCCCGTGTGCTGATCAACTGCTTGGTTTAGTTGTTATTAAGAGAAAACTAAGTATGTTACAGAAGGGCGGAGACACTAATGTAGGATTACGCCTTCTTGCGGGCACAGTTACTGTAGCAAAGGGGACGATATGAAGTGTATCAAGCCGTACCAGAGCCACATGACTCAAAGATATAGTAATGAGTGGCTGTGTCTTGTAGCCATTATTAATTGCTGGGAAACTAGTTGGCCGTCTATATCGGACAAGGTCACACAAGTTGTCCCAGTACTAACCCAACAAACTGTAATTGGTTAACCCAATCCAATAGTTTCCATGCAAGAAATAATACTAGTATTCAGATGAAACCTAAATAAACATACTTTCTGTGGTATATGAGTTGTACGTTGTTGACAGATGTGCACTATTTCTATAAGCTAATTTCCGACTATTCTTTTTTAACAGCCTGTGTTGGGCCCTATAAGCGCTATGTTGTGGTGCAGACAAGTGGAGTACACTTCACTAGACATGGCAGAGCTGACTTGACAGGTCAGTTAATCTACAGTGTTTATCAAATTTTGTACTTGTTTTCCAACACAAATTCATTTCCTCATTGTAGAATATTGTACGGCAGTCGGCGTTTCGTAGTGCTTAAAAACAGACACGATTAAATGTGCAATATGTTATTTCGTGTCAAAATTCGCTTAGTGATAACAGCCTTATTGTTCTTTTTTCTTAATTTCGAGACACAGTTTTATAGTATTCCCTACATTTTGTAGCTATGTCGTTATTTTTCCTTCACACAACAGTGTGAGAAAGGTGGGGCTACAATCAGATAAGACTAAACATTGCTGGGAGGTGTCTTCGTTTTGGAGACAAACAATTACAACGTTAACGTGTAGAAAGTTAATGAAGCGAAAATCAGTCTGACGAACTTAAGACTATGGTTGTCCAATGTTTCCTACTATTTCACATCATAAACAAAACAAATGTTGTTGAAGATGAGACAATCTATGCCCGTTCTAAAGATTTTGAGAGTAGAGAAGACTTCATTTATAGTAGAATCATATCAGAGAAAGCTCGAGTACATGTGGCAGGGCCGAACAGAGTTCCCAATGGGTCATGGCCGCATTAGTTATTCTTGAGATCACAACACTTACATAACATAAATACATGTTAGTTGCAGTAAAAAATCATTTTACTGTCTAAAAGCTTGTGAAATATACAAATAGGTACCTAGTGTACTGTGTATACACGACTCATTGAAGTTAGTATAATCGTATTTTCACCATTTTTGACAGCTATACTGACGGTTTTCATTGAAACCTTGAAGCTCGAAATCAGGCACAGACAGTTAGATTTGTATTGAAGAGCTGTCAGAGAGAGACAGACAGACAGACGGACACACCAAAAACATCGATTGCCTGCATTTTTCACGGAGGTAACAAGCGCATTGTTCTTTGTATATATTTTACCCATTTTTAAAGAAAGTATAATTTGACGTTATCTTTTGGGATGGGGGTGGGGTTAAGTATATAATATTTCTGACCTATATGCATACGCACTTGCACACTGTAGTAATAACAGCTAAAATTACCCCTCATTATGTTATTACCGGTGACAATAGGTACCTTGCACCCTAGTCGTAGTAGGTCTAAGCTAGTAATCAGATCGTAGAAGGTCAAATCACGACTATGTTATTGTTTTCAGCCCTTCCCAACATACGCAAGTACCATGATTAGGTCACAGCAAGTAATTTTTATAGATGACATCAGTGCGCATAAATTTTCGCCTGAGTTTGGAAAAAAAAAAGAAATTTTGTTGCCCTCTGACAGTGGTCAACATGCTGAAAATGGGCAAAGATGTCTATTGCTTCGCCGGAACGTAGATGGCAGATAACTATGAGAGAGGAGACAAGGCTCTGATTTAATGTTTTAACTTTGATGCAGTGATGTATTTCATTCATTTTATATGTTCTTACTGAATCAAAGCAATTTGTAAAATGCCTGAAAACTTTTATTTTTCAACATTGTTTCAATGACAAATGGATGTTGTTAAGTAGTTGGCAGCAAACTTCGCAAAATATATACGTACCATTTCTTAATGTTTAACAAGGCTTATGATGTCAAAATGTGAAAAATAATGTATATGTCTAGGAATCTTGTTTTTTTTGCCTGCCTTGTTTTTTTCGCCCTATCGCAGCTGCCCTATCGCATTAGATTTGGAGTCTGCCGAAGATGTCATCCATACAATTTACTTGCCTTGGCCTGATGATCTATCACGCTGTTCCTAACGCCACACCTAAGGTTGTTGACATGTCGGAGGGACCCACCAGTTACTGACGAGGGTGATTTTGTTATGCCCAATTACTGGTGTTAGATGTGCGATAGCACGTACGCTAACAATAGACATTGGAATGCCTCCGCGTCATTTTACGTTGGCGGAAACAAAACTAGGACTCATAAAAAAAGTTGACAACAAACAGCAGAAATCTTTTTACAGTGGTATCTGTATGAAATTCGATGGTAAATTTTATGTTTTGGTTTGTTTCAGTCATACTAAACATAGTTTTAAAACTAGGATTCAGAAAAGGTAGACAACAGATAACAGAAATATTTGTACAGTGGTATCTGTAGCGACATTCAAATGGTTTTTTATATATTTTGGTTTGTTTCAGTCATAACAAAATATACAGACTGGGATCGTTGCAACTAGTTTTAGTTTTCTGATTTGATCTCTTTTAGAAGATTACAACCTATAACATCTGTGTACATAATATCACCAGGGTCCATAATATCGCCACCTTGAGAAATAGTGTGCTTAAAGATATTTTTACTGCAACATACTTTTGGTATGCACTCCTTCACACGTCAAATGTACATACCTAGGGTATGTTGCAGTAAAAAACATCTTTAAGCACACTGTTTCTCAAGGTGGCGATATTATGGACCCTGGTGATATTATGGACACAGATGTTAGTTACCAACAGAATACGTACGTGCATTTTCTTCTTGAGTTATATGACTTTCAATTAGTGCAAACCATATTGCGATTTTCAGGTTTTACGTGCTTTATGTTAGGACTGAATTATAAGCATATATTAGGGTGACCATCAAAATGTATTGTGTCCGAACGTATGTCAGCATATTGTTGAGGTGTGTTCATCCGTTCTACAATCATTTCCCTTGAACACACTTCATAGTCGGATTTGAGATACTTCATCTAATACTCATACTTAACCTTGCCCCCAAGACAGGGACAAACCCAGAATTAATTTTGATTTTATTGAAGTTGCAACAGTGCACTACAGTGGGACAAAGGCAGCTGTTGCTGGTGTTGTGTCCCACACATAGAAACAAATACAGGACATGCAGACAATACTCATTTTCAGTTGAGTTAATGGAGAAAGTCGTGTTAAGTGCCTTTCCAAGGGCACAAGATCGGTGGCATGTCAGGACTCGAACCCGGGACCGCTTGGTTCCGAGTCGAGCACTCTGACGTTCCGCCACACGACCCCACTACGACCCAGTATATATAGTATGTATTTATCGTTGTTTCCTGCAGGTGCAGGGGAGTAAGTGAACATTCTTCCAACAACGTTTGTCAAGTCCAATAGGATATCGTGAGTACAGACACTGACACAAAGAAGTACAGGAAAACTACCAAAAGCTTTTGTGTTGTGTGTGTTGGTAATACGTGTGTATCATTTTCCACCCAATGGTCTTACTGTCTGTGAAATGCCACAGTGACTGCAATTTTGTTGCATGTACTCTTATCACTTACATGACTTTGATGTGTGAATTTAAGCCCACCGTCTCCTTATGTATTACTTTTCATATTGGATTTATCCATACTTCATCCTACCAATGCCATTACCAGCACTATTTATAATAGATAACTTCTTGCCGCATCATAATACGTATTTAATCACAGTACATATACTACATGTTTGATTTGACTATTGCTTCATATGTGCCTATGAGTACTAAACGGTTCATTAACAAGTTACTATCTGTGTCCTTTGTTAATAGATAGCATTTCCAGCAAATTGTGTACATAACCTATGGTTTGACTAAAAGTATCTACTACGTATACATGCATTTTAACTATTTTCATGTCTATGACAATTTCTAATATTTTCACGTTTCACCCATGTCTTAATAGCTATCATTTTCATGTCTACATGTATGTCTTCTGTTTATGGTTATGCCATTTGATGATATTATAATATAACTGTCTTTGTAATATAGTGTTTATCGTACTACTAATGACATTTCTTGCTGTTTTTGACATATCCATTTTATGTGGTTTCTTCTTATAACTTGTATCAAAGTATTTCTCTTAATGTATGCATATCAATTTGTGTCTTACATATTTTGTAACATTTCAAATCATACTCAAACCATACAATCATGCATTTCAACTCAAAGTCTTCTTGCAAAGTTTCCCAAAAAACAAAGACCTTGAAGACATAACGAACGTCTCTTTCAGGTTCATCAACACACAACTTGCTTCTGTCTCCTGGCATTTTAAATTTCTTTTCTTCAAGTAACACACAGTTCTTTTTCATTGCACGTAAATCCTAATACCCTGTGGCGCTAGCAGATTTTCCGCATTCCAGCGCTTGTTTGCATTCTAGCTTATTAGAATATCGGCGTGCGAGACCTTGGGCATAGAAAAATAGTCTGCAATTTTAGGGATAGGGGCAGAATCAGCTTAATGATGTTCGGCGTTTCTGTCTACAAGATCCATCGGATTGCTGGATGAAATGCTAAAAAAATTGCCCTGTAGACCGCCATAGAGTTACGCGGCATTTGCACTGTAGATACTGAATCGTCGCCCGTGGTCTGTCCGGAATGGTAATGTCTGTCGTATTAATACTACATATTTGGGTGATGTGTTTTTCATAATGCCATGATAGTGATATAATTGTATTCAAATACATACTTTCAACACAGGAATGGAAACTTGTGTTTGCTATATATAGTCGCGGGTTATGGAATAAGTTGAGTTGATAAGTTGTTCAGTGAGGTATGCACGATATCAAGGTATTTGGTTGCCCCAGGATGTCCCCATATCAGCATGGTACATGTATACAGTACTATAAGAATGGGTATACAGTAATAAAGCATGTTTTTATGACTATGTATACAGAGGGGCTATGGTCATTTTCAGTTCAGTCTACTTCAGCGTACTACTATTTGATGAGTAGACATTTGGCTTTGATTGCCCATTGTCATTTCTTTATACATGATTTCGTAATGCGTAGAAAAAACGATTGCTACATCCACGGAGGCCACGACCGATGCTTCTACAGCTGTCCTCACCACACTGTCCACCTTACGGGCACCGACGCAGACGGTAGAGACAACTTCTGCAGGTAAGGGAATAAAATCACCGATATTACTCTGCCACTCACTATTTACTATTGGTGTATTGTTGTAACTCCGGTACCTTTGCTGCAAGGTCTGCCTCGTCCCCCCGACTACCAGAGTCGGTCATGGGACTAGGTAGGTAGGAAGGTAGGTATTGAATTAGCAAGATTTAGCCATTTGGCTATCACTTCAGTGTATATATGATGTTTGTTTCGAACACCTTTGGGCGGAACACACCAATTGTGTACAGTAAGTAAAAAATACGCAGGACAGGACTGTAAGGTTAATAAGGGTAGTGGAATCTTTAAATAAATAACGAGGTGTGCATGTGGCTCTCCTCAATCACGGAACCTTCGGCTTTACCTCGTCCCATTCGAGAGGAGGTCTCTAAAGCAAAGACAGCTACACTATACTCATTGTTAGCATCCTTCACAGACCTCTGAGGAGGTGGCGTTAAGTTTTTTCCTGAGAAGGCGGCGAAACCGTCTTTCCCGGCAAAGTCCCTCGGTGGCAAAACCGTCTCTCGGTGGCATAAATCGCGTCGCTCCCCGAAAAAAATTGAAAAAAGGTTGAAGAAGTCCCAGGGAAGGAGGCTAACTCAATGTCGCATCAGTCAAGTAGGGGAATAGTTGTAAAGTGCTTTCTCAAATGCTCAACATTGGGTTGGGGTCTGCAAGGGGTTCTATTAGATCAGGACTGACCTTCAAATTCTATTCTCAGTCAACAACCCTAACCGCAATACTACCTTGCCACCACAATGCATGGCTAGCTCAATCTATAAGGGATTTGAAAGGTGTTTTTCTTAAAAGTTTATTATCTCAGACAGGTTAAATCTCTTAAATGATCAAAAGCACAAGGATTGTAGACAAACACTGTCACAGTGACACAGTCACAATTTGAAAAAAAATTCAACTTGTCATCTCTAGGCACAACAGTGATCAGTACCACTTATTCAACAACCACAACGCCTCCTTTCACCACTGTTCCTCAAACAACACAACGTTTGACAACTTCTGCCAACACAACCGTTAGCACAACCACTGCACCAACAACAACAATCCCAACTACTCCACCAACTACTGAGATAACAACCACAACCACTACTCCAACCACCGAGACAACAACCACAACTACTACAGCAACTACAGTTACAACAGTTACTACTCCAACTACCGAGACAACAACCACAACTACTACAGCAACTACAGCTACAACTACTACTCCAACCACCGAAACAACAACCACAACTACTGCTGCAACAACCAGAGCACCCCATCCCTGCGACAGCGGTCAACACAATTGTGGTCCAAACGAAGACTGTGTCCCACTTGGCCAGAGCAATCGTTACAGATGTGAATGTAGTCATGGCTATTTCAACAACAGCATAGAATGCGAAGGTTGAAATCTTTACCTCTTCCTGTCAACTTCTTCTGCTATCATTAATTAATCAATCTTAATCTTCTTGATTAATTAATCAATCTCAATCTTAATCTTCTTGTGTTGTCTGCATTTGAAATAGATATTAAATAAACGATTCTTCTTTTAACTACCCAAAACTCACAAATTTTGGAAAAGGTGGGGGGACATTACGTCTTCCATGGTTTACAAAAGAGAAGTAAAACCCTTCAGACTGTCTGACAGACATAGTTTTACAAACATCTATAGTTTTACACAATTACCTTTTATTATGTAGATTTGGTACTCTTTCAATTTTCTTTTTTCGTTATTTGCAATTAGCCCTCGGGCAGGAATTTAAAACTTTACTATCATCATAGCAATCTATTCGCATGTTTGTATCACATCCCATACGTGGATAAGTGTATCTAATTTGTATATCCCTATGTATATCTTTTTTAACTACCAATTTCTCTATATGGTAAATTAAGTGGATAGCACGGTTACAATCCCACTAATTTACCAGAAGGAGATTCAGAAGTTCTCTATATGGTGAATCAATGGGATAGCACTCCTACTATTCCATGAATTTACCATAATGAGTTTTTTTGAAGACAATAATTTTCATTACTAAAAATAACTAACCAAAGCTAAAATTTCTGCTTTTGTGTAGAGGATGAATGTGTGATGGGGAACCACGGTTGTCATGAACATGCTGACTGTGACAACCGTCCAGGCAGAGACCACAACTGTACATGTCGACCAAACTACCATGGGGACGGACGGATATGCAACAGTAAGTTTCACTTTGTGACTATTCTGAGTTTAATCAATTTATTAGTGCACCAAACGATGTCAATAAAGGGCCGCTCACTCGGTGGTTTGTTCGGTGGTTATCGCAGCTGACCAGGGATTATCTCACCATATACCCCGAGGATAAACTCAAGGCGGGGCATTGCCATGATTATCATGTAGCCTATCCATACTTAATAAAATAGTTACATTGTAGATATATCGTACATTTTTGTGACAAGACTGCTGAATGTTGCACAACACATCTATAAGTGCCTATAGCTATTTAAAATGATTTTCAGATTTTCATTTGATTTTTCTTACAGGATTGGTTATCGTTTACATCTCCATTGTGATAATAAACCCAGAGTATGCAGATGTACACAGAAATCCGGCTAGGGAAGCAGCATTGCAACGATATATCCTACAACTGGTAAGTGATAAAAGTGCAAACTTCTAAAAAATGTTTCTAATACGCTTCTTGTCACTATGGTGGGGCACTTTCTAAACATGAAGAACCGCAAGCCACTGGTATGAACATTTTTGCTATCTCTGAAAGTCTTGAAAACACGTTCTAATACGAGAAATGTGTTCTAAGTGGCCTAAGAGTTGATATGATAGCTTATTATTGCTACCATAAACATCCAGATGGCCATGCTGTAATACCAATATAATGGTATTTACATTTAGATATCGTCTGTGACTTACTGGGAACTGTTCAAAGATCGTCTATTTTTTCACATTCACTATGAACAAAATGTATACCGTGATGGTTGTTTTACAGTTGTGGAGCATCTTCGGTTTTATCACTCGAGGTGTTGGACACTTGCTCGTCAGTTTTAACATAATTTACATACGGTACGTATGCATTGTTATCTAATTCGCGTGCAAGTCATAATTGTCAATTCTTGGCAATGGCGGTTGTTATTCGCTATGTGCAGTTAATACGAATATAATTTCCATGAATAGCAAAGTTCTTTGATCACAACCATTTATTTTTTTAGGAGCCGACGTTTCGATGACCGTCTGTCATCTTCATCAGGGCAATTCTTGACAGACGGTCATCGAAACGTTGGCTCGTAAAAAATAAAATGGTTGTGATCAAAGAAATGCTATTCATTCGTTTACCAACGTGATGAAATTATCTACGGATATAATTTCCATGTCTGAAAGTTTTTCACATGTGTATTGTAGGGAAGGAAGCGTTGTGGTCGGTATAGAGGTGAATGTTACCGAACCTGACGTGCCTACCCTGGATGACATGTTCGCGAACATGACTGAACTTGGGAATTTGACCCTCGACACCAACCGGACTATAGTTGGAATGCAAGGTTCGTCAGTTTGAATATGTGCACATTTTAGTGAAAGAACTTAGTTTGTAGTCATGTATGGGATCATTACACAGTATTTCTCTACAAATGTTTTATATCATTTTAACAATACACTAATTATACACGACAAAGATTTACAAAGTGTTACAAAAATTTAACACAATTACAGTTGCATGTTGTAAATGCGTTATTATATTACTACAATGCGTGTACTATTCCCCATTCTTGTGTAAATGTCTATGTTTATGTATGACCTCTGACCTGAACCTGACTGTCTCTCGCCATGGTAACTGGTGTTGGATTATATAATGTTGCAATTTTATAGCCTTGTGGTGATTTCATGTATGTATGTATGTGTTTTAGTAAGAATTAACAGAGCAGACCATATGCGAAGGTAAACATTATGCATTTGCTTTGCAAATGTTACCTCTCTAGTTACCTCTAATCAATCCCATCTTCTCTCCAGCCGAAGATATCGATGTTGCCCCTGAGGAGTGTGAGGACGGGACGCACAATTGTTCTGCAAACGCAACATGTAAAGATACATACGACGGATTCATCTGTACATGTATGGAAGACTTCATCGGCAACGGGACACATTGTGAACCTGATCGTGAGTGAAAATTTTTTTTACACCAGCAGTGGTTCATAGTATTATCACTGTCAGACACTCGCCGTCAAAGGAAAATACATCTTGTACGAAATTTCCAAGGCAAATTCCATCAATATAGAAAGAAAGCATCGAGTGATCGTATTGAGGTCACCTGGTGGCGCTGAATGGAAGCCGCACACGACCCTTGCGACAGTTCCTAAAAAGTGTGCGAGGAGCAAATATGATCATGTGTATTATGTGATCATTGTAAACCCTGCATCAATTCAGCTCTATAAAAGGCTGCGATTGCACGGGTATTGTTTGTTCAATAAATTAAACCATTTACAATGTATTATCATTATTATCATACCACAGCATGCCCAGGATTAGATGGTTACGTACCCTTCGGAGATGACTGCTATCACTTCAGTAACACCACCACGGACTATCCGGGCGCCGAGCAAGGCTGTATCGCCAACAGCGGCCGTCTGGCCAGGGTCTTTGACGACGACACGCACCAGTTCCTCGTTGACTACATTGAAACCTACACAGATGGAGCAACGAGTTATTGGATAGGTAGGAACCTAATTTACTAAACTGATGTGCCAGGATAATACTAATTGGTGGATACACATTTCTTAAGAAGTAAAAGAGACGACGTACCAAGTGCTTATGTGGTTGACTTGGAGATGTCTGTATATGGCACTTGCAATAAGAGCAATTGTCATCGATGAACATGTCATATCTACACACCTTACACATCTAACAGTGCCCTACCATACATGATTGAACTTTTGAACCACATGCAGTGAGACATCCGTTTGCTCTTGACTATTTGTACCAACTGACAATTAGGCACGATCGTTGAGCTGTTATATTTTAACTTGTCGAACTATTCTTACTTTTTACTGGTATCTCTTAGTCTGGCAATCTTTTGTATAGATTGTTCCTGTCCTAGTGTTTTACATATAAATATGTCTCTTACTGAATTTGTTGTCATTTCACAACACAATTCAGCCATTCTGGCAGCTATGTTTGCGACAGTGTTGAAATAAACCATATATCATACAATACACATGAATGCAACCGAATTGAGTTTGTTTTCAAACAGCTCTGATTGGTGTATTCTGCAGGTTTAGATGACAGGGCGGTAGAGGGGCAGTTCAACTACTCGGATGGAACTGCCTTGGGATCCTTCAACCGCTGGCCGGCTGGCGATGTGGGCCCGTATAACCAGGAAGGGAAGGACTGTGTGCTGATGGCTAAGGGACTAACAACACCGTGGGACTGGGTTCCAGAGAGATGCGCAGATCCTGACTACCTGTACATCTGCGAGTTTGGTAAGATCATCCAAGGCATCCTTTCTGTATCTGTATCTGTATAGCCGGTATAACTGCCCTGCAGCGTAACACACCAGCTCCGCTTAATCAAAGCTATCTGATTATAATGCCCCTACTGTACGTGGTGACAAAGAGTTCCACTCTGCAATAGTTCTAGGAAAGAATGAGTTTTTGAACACCTCAATCCTTGGTTGATAACTCTAGGGGGCCCTCTAGTACTTGAAGGCATGGCTATTTCTAGCCTTTTCTGAGCTGATAATGAAGACTCAAGTAGATTGAATTCCAATTCCAATACGACTGATTTATCAGTACATGTAATTTATATTAATCAATTGCCCACAAAGAAAAAAAGAGACCCCTAAAACAGCTGTAACAAATTTTTTTTAAGACGAAATGTGTCACAGGACGAAAGTTGTACTCTATTGCACATCTACTGTATTTTAGTACCAACCACAACTACTGCAGCACCAACCACCATCGCACCGAACGTTACAAATGCTACAACAGTCATCACCGTGCCAGTCTCCACGGCGACACCATTCTGTAAGTAGCCTTCAAGACATAAATTCAATTTTCAAATTAAAAACGAGTTCGAGTCCTGACATCGATCTTGTGCCCTTGGGAAACTTTAAGGCACTTGACATGAATTTCCTCACTTAACTCTGACAGTCAATTGAAAATGTCCTGTCCTGTATTTGTCATCTGCGTTGATGCCGTGTCTAGTCATGAAATGTTGGAATAAAAAAACTTGCATCGCTGATGATAACCCCCAAGAACCAGCAATCCACAAACCCGTCCCGTTGTGATATTTTCACTTCCAGCGTGCCAGGGCCATCCAGGCTACGTGCCGTTCAACAGAAGCTGTTACCTCTTCAGCAACAGTTCCACAGACTACGAGGGTGCGGAAGATAGCTGTGTTCTATATGACGGTCGTCTCATCAGGGTCATGAACAATGAGACTCACCAGTTTCTTCTGAACCACATCCTGACGTACATCAACCAGTCTGTCAGTTTCTGGATAGGTATGTGTGAAATTTTTTTAAAATATTCAAATCATATTTATAGGAAAATAAAACTACTGGATAAATTACGGAGATAATTTCCGGACGTTTCAAGTGACATCCACCACTCTTCTTCAGCATCACTAATGAAGTAACAGAATTCGTTAACTCATACGTAGGAGCAACTGGGAAAAACAGTTGAACATGACAAGGTTCATATAGTCATTGATATGTAAAGGAGGTAAGGTAGTTCCTATAT